TTTCTCGATTCACAACAAATCGTTATACCTACCTATCCCTAACAGTTACAGCCTCACTTTACCAAACATCAGATCTTATACTTTAAGCATAGTCAGCTTCTCCGGCTTGTGAGCAAGGTTAGATTTATGAACATCCCTGTGCACGACACGCATTTTACCTTAAACTACTATCATGTGTCTGAACTCGTTTTTAGAAAAGTGACAAATGGAACCCCTTCGTTCAGAGTAATTATGACATTAACATCTGTTTTAGGTAAAAGACAAAGTGCAATCAATAAGGTAAAATTCAAAAATCACGTAAAGCGTTTTTTAGAAGCAAGAATAAAAGCGGACAGATTGCAGATATGGCAGAGCCCTAAAATTCTTACAAAAAAGTTTAATTCTGTAAAATATGGAGAAAAACAAAGAAAGAGTACAACGCATCACAATCAATAACATTATAACGCAACAATAAAACAAAACAGATCAGCATAGGAAACAAACATAAAATCGAAAGTTAGAAAACACGAACAAACTAACAGCAGATTAAATCTATTAATCATTAATGTCTACAAATCGACGATTATTCCACCACGACATAATTTACCAGCAATTATTAATCAACACGATGCCAGCATACTTAGGAATCACAAACTGTGACATCACATATTTTAATCCTTCTTTGCCCTGGTCATCGTCATTCGATAGATGATGGAATCACGCCCTGGGTCGATTGACCACATAACAACGCTGATCATCAACACCGTAACACTAAGGGATATCGTCAGCCACAGGATGATGTTAAACATAACGGGGTAATCCGGCGAGTAGAACTGGTACGTGGTGTAAACTGTGGTGTTGGAAGCGCTTGCAGGACGGTCATTTTTCGATGCCCTTGGCTTTCGTACGTGTATACCGCTGGTGATCAGTACCTGAACGATGCAGTTGCCCCCGTAAGCTGTCTTGAAGGCGTCTGCGCTTTTCAGGATCTCTTTCGAAACCTGTTCCATTGGAGCAAGAAGAGACGTGGAATCGAGCATCACATCTTTGCTTCGGTCTTGGATCTGCTGGATACCATCGATGTGGAACAGGAAAAAGTCAGGCACTCCGTTGTGCAAGTCGCCGAGCGCCAATGCGTTGCCGGTCACCTGTCGAAGTTGCTTCAGCTCCAGCTGAAGTCTCTGGGACTCATTATACGTCACACCCTCGTCGACATGCCGACGAGAGCCGTCCAAGTTACCGTCTGTTCCGTCGGCGGACACTTCGGCTACGTAATAGCGGTCGTGAACGAACGCTCGCTGGATGTCGCTGAACACTGAGCCGAAGTCCATCGCTCTGTCCTCCTGAAGAACGAAGAACTTTTTCGAAGGCAGATGCACGTTCGCAGTAAAGTCGTCTGATGTTATGGCATAGACTATCAGTGCTTCGGGTCGGTTGAACAACTGGCCTGCGTTCAGCCATTCTACCGGAGAATCGGCTGACAAGCCAAGCAATGTTCCATCAATTGCCGGTACTGACGACGAGTACATCAGACTACTCTCCGGAAGCTGCACGTTTGGGGGAACATGCAAAAAATGAAGAAAAGCTCCGGAAGTTGAAGAAAGAAAAGAAACCAATATAAATAGCACAAACAGACCCATTGTAAAAGATAAAGCTCTCTGAGAAACGTTCACCTGTTTAGCGCTTCTTTAAATGCTGTAATACAGATCTGCAAGTAAGAATACTGTCGATCCAGTGTTACAGCCGATTGAAGCATACATTTATTTTAGGCAAAGGATATTATGTTAGCAAAATCTGAGGCCCGTCCGCTTCTACAATCGTGGTTAGATATTTTTGTTCATTCACGCAGCAACATTTTAACTCGCCGTTTTTATTGCTATTTTTAATGTGATGAAACTATTTTTTTCGACAGTCAAGTCAATATATTGAGGAACCAAGCCATTGAGAAGGTCTGGTACTGTTTTACTACATGGAGAGATTGAAAATTATCGACTGCATTTACTTTGAAAACCACTGCAAAGAATTGTGCAGCATTTTCAGCATGAAAAGGTTACAAAAGTGGGTTGCCCATGGGTGCTTCTTTGAATCATTGGAAATTCCACCAGGTAGGCAGAAATCATTCGTTTTTAACATGCAAAAAATCATGATTTTGTCAAATAACTGCATGCGAGATTAGTACATTAGCAAACCACTTTCGTATTTTTTACGATATTATTTAAATCAGTGCTAGTTTACTCACTTTCTCCCCAACCAAGCGTTTTAAAATACAAATAGATACAAATAAGTCAAATGGTGTTTCAAATACGTTATGGTCTCAAAGAGCGTGGATTTATGTCCATCTCCTGCGAAATGTAAGATGTTATGGCCTGCTGAGTGTTCAAGCCGACTTTTATAGGTTAGAGGGCATAAATTGTCCGATTACGTCCCGTAACTACGGGGGGTATGATTTACGGTCATTGCTTTTAAAGTAGTACGGTAAGCCTGCTTTTCTTGAAAAATCCCAAGGTTTAGGGGGCCACTTGTAGGAATTGCTCCAAGGGTAACTATGTTAGTGAATTTGCTCAAATTTCGTCTGAAATACAGGATGTGATTTTTGTTCTCCCTGTTTCTAGAGAAGTTAAGGTGCTTGAAGGGAGCGTTTAACTTGGACGCACCATTTATGGAAAAGAGTATGATGAACCAAAATTAATTTGTGACTTGGAACTGAATTTCCGTAACTTAAAACTTTCCTTGTAGCTCATGCCAAACGTTCGCCGTTATCGCAATGTTCTGTCAATCATTGACATGAAATATAATATAAGATATAAATTACGCATAGAAAGGACCACCAATGGAAACAAAAAATTCGTATCATAAACAAAATGGTTTCGGAGGTAAATAAAAAATTTAAATCGCGTAATAAATAAACTCATAAAAGCTCAAAGGGCTCGGCCGACAGTCGGAGGGTGGCCGGAAAAGTAGGTTCTATTTGTTGCGTCGGGCTCGCGAATCCGACAGTGGAATCTTGAACTAGTGTCTAGCAGCCACAACCTCCTTCAGAGTCTCACTTTAAGCACCTGGTCTTCGTCATAATTGAGTTACGAGTGAATTTGACATGGCGAAATCGTAAGCGTTCTTCTTGGGAACCTTTACCGGTGGAAACTCTTCATTAATTTTACCATAAGGTACGCATGACAGAAGAACGCAGAAAGCTTATTTTTCTTATCGTGACTCGCGGGAGATATTTCAACTCAATATCTGAGTATGGCCCGAAAACTTCAGGCCACAGTTCAATAAATATTTTACATTAAGTGACCTGCAACGCTGATAAAGAAGAATGGCGTATTAAGAGTAAAAAAAAGAATACTGCTTATCTAGTGTTTTGTTTAAAAATATCTGTCGTTGACCTGTTATTAGAAATTATTGAGAAGGCTAAGAACAGCCGATCATTTTTTTTTGAGGAGAGAGAAATCAAGACTTGAATTTCTGTATGTAATTTTTTCGTTCTTCATTTCGTCTTTTGCGTCAGTTATACAGTGGTGCTGTGTGAATCTCAAATGACGCAATAACCATAAGAAATGACACACTATTTAAGTAATGAGTTTAGTACCGTACTGTCGTGGGTAAACTTCGAGGTTCAATTTTGCAAACTGTATGCTACTGCACTGAGCCAGCCATTCAATGAATATATCATCCCATCTTGCGTATTCATCTTAACAATATACAAAAACCATTTCTTTATTTTCCATTTATCCGAAAATCTCTTCAAACGGACATAATTGCTCTTGTACTTACTGAAAACGATCTTTTGAATAAATAGGCTGCATTAATCAATTCATGTCATTTCATGTCATTGACAGCTACAATCAGTTATATTACATCCTTCTATTCAAAAATCTCTGATAAGTATTTAACTATGCAGAGACCAGTGTTTAGTCATCACGAGATGAGATTCAAACAAAAGAAGCCAAAATTTGGAAATCAGCGATTTCAAAACGATTCCCACCAAACTTCGTTGGAGCACCGTTTTCTTTGGCTGAAAAACCACATTTAAAGCCTTGAGAAATAGAAAGCATCAGGTGCTTGGAACTATTTCAGGGTGTAAAATGCGAGGCTTCTCAGAGCATACTCATCTGACATAAGTAGGCCCGCATTCGATTCAAACACCGCAGGAATTTTTCTCCGAATGAGAAACTTTTTCTCCTATATATGATTCATACGTTCGTTCCTGTTTGTTATTCATTAACCCATGTCTTTTGTATGAGAAACTAAATATTAATAAATTTGAAAACCCATTTATTTTATACACGACACAAAAGTGATCAATCAGAAGATTGATCATCGATACCTACGTTTCCACCCGTGTTTCACGGTAGCGGGAATGTGTTAACCCTTTTTCGAACCAAAGATGTAGGTAGAGTTCAATGGCCATTCCAGCCGAGAAACAAA